GGCATACAGGCAAAGAAGCCACCACAAAGAACAACAACACGTACCCGGCAGGGCCACAGCCCGAGGCGAGCCTGATGGCACAAGCACAAAGACTGCGGCGGGAAATCTCCGTACCAAAGCTCGTCTGGAAGACGGAAAAACGCACTTTGCCGGAAAGGGCTGGTTTTGCAGGTTGTGGCCAGCATCTGCTGATGCCGTATTTTACGCGAGCTCGACGAACATTTGCCCGTCCTCCCACGGCTACGACACGCAACCTCCCGGCGACTGAGGTGTGCCTGTGGCAAAAGCCGGCATGCGTGTGCTGCAACAACCACGGACCAGAATGCGCGACAACACGGCCGAGCAAGAGTGCCGATCTAAGCAAGACGTCGCCAGCTCTGTGGGGAAAATCAAAAGTTCCTGCACGCTGCCCTGTAGTCGCTCACTTCTCGCAAGCCTGAACTCATCGAACCTGCCTATGTGGGACGGAGAATGGGATTTTAGAAAACTGCACACCGCTCATCAGGATGTGTTCTGACGTCAACCCAAAGTATAGTCGGCGCTCCACAAAACACCTGCTGATGGCTCTGCAGTACACAGCACGCATGGTCCTGGATCTCAGCTCTTGCAGCTGAGATTGATACTACGCAATGCGATGTCTTGAGTACTACATCCACGGGCCGCACCGAATCGACTGTGATCGTCTGGCCCGATGACGGTAGGACCTCTGCCCACTGCGAAGCTTGGAGCCCCGCACATGCGCCTACTTTTGCGCCATCTTCTCTTTCGAGGGCCCCACCCGTGCAGAAACCGACGAGCATGGCCACGGTCTACAGCACTGGCTGCAGCAGATACTGAGGACGATACCAAGGCCACAAAGGCTGCCGCGCGCGCAATGCATGAGTCTGAGGCTGGGCGTGAAGGCTTCCATGCCAAAACTGCCTCCACGATGCCTTGTACAAGGCTGCAGTGGGTCGCCTAGGTGGCGCCAGCGATGTCGAGTTTTCGGCACACATATGCACACATATGCACACCTATGCACACACACACACAATAAGTCCGACTCAAACAACTCTCTGACGTTGAATTGGACTGAGCTCCTGACCGAGACCCGTGCCAACTGCGGATACAGTGGATACATACCTCGTCGAGCCGACCAGGGAATGTTGCACAAATGCTCCAGAAATGCGAGAGCCAACGGAACATGGAGGTCCTGGAGAGATGCCCCGAATTTTTCATGCGAAGTGCACACTCAGGATCGGGCCCTCGGAGTTGGAGGATCCGAATTGCGCTTGTGCTCTTTGGTCTTGCTCTGTTGTGCTTTGCTTTCTTTGTTTGTGCTGTGTCGTGCTGCGTTGCGTTGTCCTGGGTTTTCCTGTGCTGGTCCCGCGTTGGGCTGCGTTGTGTTGCTATACTCGTTTGCTCGTTTTGTTTGTGTGTGTGTGTGTATGTATGTATGTATGTATGTATGTATGTATGTATGTATGTATGTATGTATGTATGTATGTATGTATGTATGTATATACGTATGTACGTATGTTTGTTTGTTTGTTTTTGTGCGTCGTCGCTTGCGTGTTTGTGTTGTGCTGTTTCTGTTGTGTTTGTGTTTGTGTTTGTGTTTGTGTTTGTGTTTGTGTTTGTGTGTTTGTGTTTGTGTTTTTGTGTTTGTGTTTGTGTTTGTGTTTGTGTTTGTGTTTGTGCTTGCGTTGTGTGTTGCGGGTCTTAACGTGCTCGCCTGTGTGACAAGGCACCAAACCACAGGGGTGCTTGAGCAAGCCGCCAGCAAAGATATGCGTCCTGGACCGGGTTGAGAATCTATGGCCTCGATGAGTGCTGCGGTCCAGACTCTTCTGTCCCTCAACACAGTCAAACTTTTTGCCTGGAGGCGCAGCGAATCCTAGAGTGAGCAGGCTTGATTCTAAGCCCTTCAGCCATGGCCGGACGGATGGACTACTCCTTGCCCTCGTCTCTCCCGGAATGCTCCTCCATCGTCGATGAAGAGGTGTACGTACCTGCGCAACGTCACTCCAGGTCAGCCATGGCTATGTCTTGCCCTTAAGCGCACACGTTCTTCGAGAGGGACCGCGTGAACATGCTCCAGCCTTGCACGAGCCCGCGCACGGAGAGTCGTTGTCATGCTGCGAGTGGCAATGGCTCTGCCAGGCCGAAGCAGCGCCCCTGCAGATCTGCAGCAACGACAAATCAGCGGAGGGGCCTTCCACGACTTCTGAGGCAAACTTGGGTCAATTGAGGCGACTTTGCCTGAGGCACCCGTGGAGAAGGCCAGGCCTTCAGCTGCGGACACTGCCATTTCACCCTCAGACCTGAACCTGGTTGTCGAAAAGGTCTGGGAATGTGGATGGCCGGGCCGGCTGGGCCCCTGAGGGCTGGGAATTCGTCGAGCCGCGCCCGCCATCCGGTTTTTGAACCATTGTGGGTTGCCGAGGACGTCTGCATTGCATTCTGTCGGCAGCACGTACGAGATATCACCAAGCTGCCAGACTCCTCAAAGCTCCAAGCTCCAGCTGAGGGCGGCGCGCTATTCTGGTTGCACTGGGCCCTTCCAGCCATACGCAGGACGTAGTCCCAGGAGAAGGTGAACAACTTGAGAGCCTACCACCGGCTCATGTATCGTTGGCTTGCGCTTTGGCTGTCTTGAACAGAGCGGTGGATAGGGGAACCCCTGAGTGAAGAAGCATGGGTTCCTGGCCGTCTACCTGGCGTGAAGGCGGGCCAAAAGAGCGCGCGGCAAGGCCTAGAGGCCATTCAGGGTATCGTTTTTGGGGTTAGGCATCGCTTTCCCAATAAAACCCGTACTGCCAAGTCATGGAGCACCAGGGGGGCTCTTAACCAGCCGATGTCAAGCCAAATGCACGGCATCAGCAAGGCAATCAACTCAAGTTAGGAGGATAGAACTGACTCGCATCTGTGGGCAAATGTCCGCCCAAGGCTACCTAGAGAGGCGCGGGACTTAGCCCATCCAGCTGTGTTCGATTGTGGGCCTGATGGCTACCTTCGCATCAAGCGTTTGGATAGTGAACCTTCGGACGTCACCACTTCAACACATCAGGCACCATCATTGCACGCGGCTGAAGTTGAGAACGGTCCAGCACTGATACTATTCAGTCACAATATGCTTGCATCTGGCACAGCATGTTTTTCAAAATCGATTGCCAGCAAACACACATCAACCTCGCGCGCCGACTTAGATGGCATCAAGAAACTTGTTGTTCGCTGCAGAGCATGCTTGGGAATTTGAAAGGTATTGAACGGTCGTGCAAGCATGGGGCGGCGGCATTGAACCACATGCCCAGCCGAATCGGGATGCCAGTAGCAGTCACATGCATTCTGCCCGCAGCTTCCGATTCTCACTAGCGTAGGAACCAGCACGAGAAACTCAGCTGCAAGAAACCGGGAGGCTCAAGTGCATTCTCTTTCTGAAAAAAAGTGTGATTCTCGGATGTTCGCAAGTGGAACAGTCAGTTCCGCCCGCACCTGTGCAGCATTGGAAACATGGGCACTAATTGTATCACTGTGATATACACTGGAGCTTTTCCTATCAAGAGGCTCTTGTGGGCACTTTGTGCAAAAACCGCATCTTTTAAGCGCCCACGCATGCACGTCCATAATCCATGTAAGTGCTCAAACATCTTCGTCGCGTTTAAGGTTTGTTAACGGTACGAAACCTTAATAACGCGGCTGAGGTTGACAACGGTCCAGCACTGATATTATTTATGTCGCAGTATGCTTGCATCTGGAACAGCATCTCGTGGAAAAACGATGCACTCTAGGCTGAAGAATCATACCAAGCTTGACAATGCGCAGGCAACTTGAGGTCCTGTGCCTTTTGCAGGCGCTGATTTGAAGGCGTCGCACATCGACCTCGCGTGCTAACTTAGATGGTATCAAGAAACTTGCTGTGCGCTGGAGAGCATGCTTGGGCATTTGAAGGGAATTGAGAGGTCGTGCAAGCATGGGGCGGCGGCATTGAACCACATGTCCAGCCGAATCGGGATGCCAGTAGCAGTCACATGCATTCTGCCCGCAGCTGCCGATTCTGACTAGCGTAGGAACCAGCACGAGAAATTCAACTGCAAGAAACCGAAAGGCTCAAGGGCATTCCCAGTCTTTCTGAAAAAGTGCGGTTCTTCAGGCTTCTCGGATGTTCGCAAGTGGGAACAGTCATGGAAACATGGGCACTACTTTCCTGCACTGGTCATTCCAACTGCAGTGGCTTTAGTCGGCAGGATGGCTGAACCTGGTTTCATGCGAACTTCGCCTTCGTAGGATTGCAGGCTGAGTGCAGCCTTGGCCGCACAAGCCTGCAGATCATGGTGGCAGGGGCGGGCCAGAACAATTGCCTAACCCAGGCGTGCGACTATGCTGAGAGAAGATACGTTGTCCTGTGTCCGCTCCGCCTCTGACCTGGAGTGAAAAACAACTGTCAGGCCAACATTGCACACTCGCTGCATCTGTAGGGCACAGCATGGATGAACATGCGGGTTCCAATGTGGGTCGAGCATCCAGCAGTCTGAAGCACCTGCGGAGCGAGTCTTCAGCTGCTGCGGCCGGGGTGCGCCACGGGGCTAGCGCAACTCTCCACTCAGACAATACTCGGCACGGTCTGGAGTGATCGGTGACTTATCTGGCTTATCTGTGAAGGACAGGATTGTTGATCTTGGTTTCATCTAACTTCGCCGGCCGCTAGCGCTGAGGGCAGATCATGGTAGCCCGACTTTCATAGATGCCAAAGGTACTAGAACGGCGGATGGGCCTACCCCACAAGTGCGACCAGGCCGAGAGGGGAGAAGTTGCCCTCTCAGCATAGATTGAGAAAGAACGGTCAGGCCAATATTGAACAGCTGCTGCATCTGTAGGGTACAGCATGGATGAAGATGGGGGTTCCAACATAAATCTCGCATCCGGCAGCCGGAAGCACCTGTGAAGCGAGTCTTGAGCGGCTCCGGCCGCACACTGCCACTTCACCCCCAAACCTGAACCTGCTGAACGCATGGGCCAGGATGGGTCAGGACTTGGGCAAGAAAACCTTTGCCACCTTTGCCAGGGCCTGCGTCATTTCTCTGCTCGAAGCAGAGACGGGCGAGACATGCACTTCACGCGTGCTGGACCACACGGGTTTGCAAAGAACAGTTGAAAGTGCAAGATCCCACAAGAGACAAGAACGTTGGGCTCAAACATGCAGAAGGTCACACGTTTTCCATGAAAGCTTTGGTCAGGAGTCATGCGTTATCCGAGGCGGACGGCAACCATCCTACTCGGCATTGTCTGGAGTGATCGGTGGCTTAGCTGGCCTATCAAGTGTCAAGAGTGGCTAGGAACGAGGGCACATGCCCTGACCCAGGAGTGCGTCGGATTCGCAGCAGCCGGTAAAGCAGCTGTCTGCACCGGCACTGTGCATCGCTTCTGATGTGCACGCTGTCATTCGTGTGCGATAGGAGACGAATACCTCCCGCCCCACAGGCACCAAATCATACTAAATCCCTACTTGAGGTCGATGCGACGACATGGGCTTTTGGCGATGAGATATTGTGCCGTGTCTGCTTCGCCTCTGCGAGCCGTACATTGAAAAGCCACTGTCGGGGGAAATTGCACAGTTGCTGCATCAGTGGCCAGGATGAACCACTGAAGCCTGATGGACGGGTCAGAATGCCAAAAAGCGGGGGCAAACTACTTAACGTCCCCCGCCCATGAGTCAGATAGGAAGGGCACATGTTTGCGGCGGGCCACCACAAGCCCGAAGTTCAGTCGAACCCAGCTTTAAAGGCATTCCCCAAAGGGCACGCGGGTTTTGCTACGCCTTTGTGGGGCAGCACGCCTTATCGCATGGACCCAGTACCGGCATCGAGGGCACGTGAACAACTAACATGCTCTGGCTTCTGGAACGACATTTCAGGGAAGCAGAACATGAATCCTCGAAATCAAATCCGGAGCACCCTTAAGCAGGTCATGTCCCCAAGCGCGCGAGTCCCAAAAACAGCGAGTGAACTGCCACGAACAACACTTTCCATGGGCAAAACAGAGGACCATATCCTCCGGTCGAAGAACGTCCGGCAAGGTGGGTTTTGCATGGGGGTGCGTTATGCATCTGGGGGGGGAGTTGGGCATGTTAATGCCGAGCGAGCGGGCACGGGACATGGACTTGAGGTTTGCAAGCCCATGGAGATCTGAGCCCACTCTAGACCATCCGAGACCTTACACCCTCAACCTTAAGCCCGAAACCGTAAAGGGTTTAGGGTTTAGGGTTTAGGGTTTAGGGTTTAGGGTCTAGGGTTTAGGGTTTAGGGTTTAGGAACCCCGGTGGAAGAAGAGCAGAAGGTTTCAGAGGCCTGGGGACATCAGCGAGATAGCCGGGCACACAATCGCCTATGCGTGAGATGGATAGCTCATGGCTGCGGAATGGAAGGGAACACACAAGGTACAAAACTGTTTGGGGTTTAGGGTTTAGGGTTTAGGGTTTAGGGTTTAGGGTTTAGGGTCTAGGGTTCTGCGGCCGAATAGATGGCTTACATTAGCTCACAGGCCCAGCATCAAGCTCACGACTCAGGTCAGCATCCAAAGCCCTGACGAAGAGCCGGGATGAGCACTGCCATGCATTGAGTGACCCTGAATCTGCCAGGGAGGAGCCACTGCGGATATCACTGACAGGAGAGAGCTCCTGGAGGGACGGATTGGGGGCATCTTGTCAGAATGAGCTGGGGTTGGCATCGGCAGCTGAATCGAGCAAGCCGAGCTGGGCAGCCAAAGAGGCCTCCGCAAAGAGCAAAAGCACACAATTGCTCAGCAGTCCGGCCTCAGCCGGCTCGCATCCGGCAGGGCCACAGCCCGAGGCGAGCCGGATGGCACAAGCACAGAGAGTGCCGCGGGAAATCTGCGTACCAAAGCTAGTCCGGAAGACGGAAAAGCAAAGTTTGCCGGAAAGGGCTGGTGTTCCAAGCGGTGGCCACAAGTTCAAGCAGCATCGATGACAGCAGTTGTGGAAGTTCACTGCTCCAAAGCCGCTTGGGGCGACAACGACGGATCGAGGTTGCCAGCTCGGGTTGAGCTCACGGCCAGGGGCATGCGTGCTGCAAGCATCCACTCATGCCATACTTTACGCAAGCTCGACGAAGACTTGCCCGTCCTCCCACGGCTACGGCACGCACGCGTGCCTTTGGCACAAGCCCGGCACGCGCTGCGCTGCAACAACCAGGAACTAGAATGCGCGACCCCGGTCTACGCAAGACGTCGCCAGCTCTGTGGGGAAAATCAAGAGTTCCTAAACCCTAAACCCTTAAACCCTAAACCCCAGCTGCGCGCCGCTCATCAGGATGTTTTCTGAGGTAAACCCAGAAAATAGGGTTTAGGGTTTCAGGTTTAGGGTTTAGGGTTTAGGGTTTAGGGTTTAGGGTTTAGGGTTTAGGGTTTAGGGTTTAGGGTTTAAGGGCGTTCCGCGACTTCGGCCTACTAGGCCCTCAGGGACCTGCTGACGGCTCTGCAGTACACAGCACGCATGGTCATGGATCTCAGCTCTCGCTGACGGTGGGACCTCTGCCCACTGCAAGACTCGGAGCCTCGCAGCTCCCGCTTTGCGCAGCTTCTATTTAGAGGACCCCCTGGTGCAGCTTCCGAAGAGCCCGGCCAAGGTCTACGAGTCTACAGCACTGTCTGGCAATCGCAGATACCAGGGTCATCAAGGCTGCCGCGCGCAATGCAACAGTCTGAGTTTGGTCGCGAAGGCTTCCAAGCCAAAACTGCCTCCACGATGCCTTGTGCCAGGCTGCAGCGGGTCGCCTGAATGGTGCCAGCGATGTCGGAATTTCCGGCACACACATGCTCAAACAACTCTCTGACGTTGAATTGGACTGAGCTCCTGACCGAGACCCGTGCCAACTGCGGATGCATTGGATGCACACCTCGCCAAGCCGACCTGGGAATGTTGCACACGTGCTCCGGAAATGGCAGAGCACACGGAACATGGAGGTCCCTAAACCCTAAACCCTAAACCCTATACCCTATACCCTAAACCTCAGAGATGCCCTGAATTTGCATTCGGCCTCAATCGGCCCAAGTGCACACTCAGGATCGGGCCAACCCTCGGAGTTGACGGAGTTGGAGGATCCGAATTGCTCTTGTGCTCTTTGGTCTTGCTCTGTTGTGCTGTGTTTCCTTGTTTGTGCTGTGTTGTGCTGTGTTGTGTTGTCCTGCGCGGTCCTGTATTGGGTTGTCTTACTCGTTTGCTCGTTTGTGTGTGTGTGTGTGTGTATGTGTGTGTGTATGTGCGTATGTGTATGTGCGTGCGTGTTGTGTGTGTGTGTGTGTTTGTCGCTTGTGTGTTTGAGTTGTGCTTGTGTTTGTGCTTTAACGTGCTACCCTGCCTGTGTGCCAGCCCGCACAGAGAACCCATGCTGAAGCCGATTTGTCTGCCTACAAGCCATGCGAGCGCTACAGCAGGAGATCCAATCACGTTTCGCATCATCTCCGTCAAAACCGAAAGGCTTGGGGGCACCTTTTGTTGAATGCTTCAAACGTGGTACCTGTCTTTGAATTAACAGCGGCGGCGGCACCCATGGGGCGGCACGGTGACAAAATTTTGCCGAGTGCTGTAGCAACCAGAGGCAGCACACGGGCCCTTCGCTGGCCCTGGTGATCTTAGGCCTTGCTCTGCAAGGCGCTGCCTACAGGGGTTTACGATACTAGGGCTACCTTCTTGGGGTCCTTATTGCAAGGGAATCCTACTTTTTGGGGGTCCTATATTCAGGGGTCGCTAAGTATCGTAAGCCCCCTATAAGCTGCACGGCACAAGTGACAAAACATCGCCTATACGCCAATACCGAAGCTTATGCGGGACGAGCTGTACACATTATTGGGGCGGCGCATGGCCACAATCTGGCCATGCGTGGGCCCCCAAACAAAACCGTGCCCAGGGGCAGAAGCCGCTGTTTTTTATAAATAGCCTTAGCTACTTGGAGATGCATGGTACTCGTGAACCAATTATAACTGTACTTACAACCATATTAGGGCACTTAAGGGGCTTATAAGTGCATTATGAGTGCAGTTATAATTGGTTGATAGTACCATGAACCTCCAAGTAGGGTGCTGGAAACGCAGGGCTCTGCCCGTGCGAGGAACCGACTGACACTGAGGCAATCGAGAGAGAGGAGCGAACTCATCGCAAAAAAACAGCCCTTTCTGTACACATGGCACAAGTGGCCCAGCCAGTGACTCCAACAAGTGGCAGGTCATCGACAGCCAGCCAGAGTGCAAAGGGCAATGCATGGAGTGCTGGAAACCAGGAGAAGCCAACTTGTAATTGCAAAGGTGTGCCTGGTACACGCATGGTACACCCAGCCCAAGACCTCCTGGTTTCAGCCTCCGCGGAATGAATTCGGCGCCTCATCGCCGTCCAGGCACTCTCACTTCTTTACAGGAGCCTCTAGAGTCAGCCCATGCGGACAGTTAGGAAAGGCTTCACGGATCCTCATCAGACACATCTGATGAGGAAGGCCAATTCCGCGGGGTGGTCTTGGCGCGGCGTAGTCTTTTTCTGTGAAACTCCTCATCACTGTCGCTGTCTTCATCAACCTGGAGGAAGGTGCGGCACACCTTCACATGGTGCTGGGCTGACGTCTGCTCCCGGGTGAGGTGCCGGCTCAGCTCAGCCAGCTTCTCGTCGAACACGAAGCGAGGCTGGGCATCGGCACACACGTTCGGCGCGATGGAACCCCCGTTCATGCGGCGGTAGGCCCTCTTCTGGATCTGGAAGGCGGCCAGGAACTGGTCTTGGACCAGTTGCCACTTGTCCGATCTCACCACACACTGATAATGCACCAGTCGCTGGCCGTCGAGTGAATCGTAGGCCTCAAGGTCTAAGTCCAGGTTTGCGGCGAAGCTGTTCACGAAGGCTGCGAAGTGAAACCTACCAGGGGGAATGCGGATCCAAGACCCCAGTGGCACCGGGTCGTCCTCCGTGCGCACGGTAACTTCGGGCTCTTGCGTGGAGCCAGCCGGCAGCGGCAGGAGAGGCGGGCCTCTTTTGCAGCTGTTCACCACAAGCACCGTGTACATGTTCGCATCGACGGCACGCATCTCTGCCAGCCCAGGCCGGTTCAAGAAGTGCGTGACGTTGGACCGCGCGGACTCCAGGCAAATGGTGAGGTGAGTGGACATCCACTGGTCGAACCGGACTTGGGTCATGCTGAAGGCGGTCGTCATGTCCACGAACCCGGGCTCTCGCGTGCGGAGGATCATCAGGGAGTCCGAAGGGGCCCCGCTGATGGTGGAGAACATCAAGGTGGTGTCCTGTTGGGTCGGGCACGCTCGATAGAGCTTCTGCCGACAGACGATCGGAGTCTTGGGAGGCGTGAGTGCAGGCATGCCCAGGTCTCCAAAGACCATGGTACAAAGCTGCAGGAGGGTCCAGGAGGCTCGGTGTTGAACGACAGCATCGCCTGGGGCCAGCTGCTCTACCACATCGAAACCAAGAGGCGCTTGCAGCTCGAGCTGTCGCGTCTCGGGTCGTACCATGGACCTGCTGGGATCCTCCACGTTCTGCATGGGAACGCTTTTGAAGCTGAACCTCACCAACTGACCACCCCAAGGGCACTCGCAGTAGGTCAGGCTCGAGCCTTTTGAGCAGCCACGCACGGCGGAGTCCCAGCCGTGTTCGGAAAGGAGCTGAGGCACCTGCTCGAACCACTGCACCACATTGCACGGTCGCCCGGCGGTCATCGTGAAGAGGGGCAATGATCTGCATGTGTCGAGCTTCACTTTGGGTCTGCAAATGCTGCGACGGGTCTTGTGAGCCCTCCCTAGGCGACCTTATCCCTGCTACGCCGCCACCCTAACATGCCTTGAGGCTTCAGGGGGTTCAAGGCTTTGGGTGCTTTGCTTCACCTTACAAGCCATTGCGAGGACAAGACAAATGCTTGCAGGCACTCTTTCGAGCGCGCGGAACGTCGCCACGAGCCTTGGAGCTTTGCCATACGGCTTCGAAGATCGGAGCGCACTGGCCTTCAAAACCTGAGGCCCCTCTGCGCTTAGCGAAAGATCGGCTTGTCGAAAAGCTCCCTGGCAGCTTCTGCCCTAACCCTAAACCCTAAACCCTAAACCCTAAACCCTAAACCCTAAACCCTAAACCCTGAACATGTGCGGCAGGACTTCGCCTCAGTCATGACTCAAGCCTCTGAACAGCACACGAGCTAGCGGTGAGGTAGATGACCTGCGAATTTGCAGGGTTTGGGGGCCACAGGTAGGCAGCAAAGAGCCCGCACCCGACACAGAGGAAAACCCGAAACCCTGAAACCCCAAACCCGAAACCCTGAGCCCTAAAACCCTGTTCAGCCCTGCGGCCGTAAGGTACTCCTGCATTGCACTTCGCCAATCTGCTTCATGCCCTTCCCTGCCACCCACAGGTTCACGAGGATAAGGCTTAAGGTTCCAGGGCCGCGTACGGTCGACCAGCAGAGTTTAGGGTTTTGGGTTTAGGGGTGTAGGGTTTACTGCAGGGTTTACGGTTTAGGGCTTAGGGTTTAGCGTTTAGGCTAGGGCTTTTCGGGTTTCGGGTTTCGCGTTTAGGGTTTAGGGTTTAGGGTTTAGGGTTCAGGGTTCAGGGTTTAGGGTTTAGGGCTTAGGGCTTAGTGCATAGGGTTTAGGGCTTAGGAATTAGGGCTTAAGGTTTAGGGTTTTGGGTTTGGGGCTTTGGGCTTTGGGCTTTGGGCTTTGGGCTTTGGGCTTTGGGCTTTGGGTTTTGGGTTTTGGGTTTTGGGTTTTGGGTTTGGGGTTTGGGGTTTGGGTTTTTGGGTTCAGTTTTCAGGGTTTCGGGCTTAGGGCTTGCAGATCCGTATCTGTCTTCGGGCACGACAAAGTGTTGAGAGCTTAGAGTGCCCTAAACCCTAAGCGTTCAACCCTAAACCCTAAACCCTAAGCCCTACGTTTGCCTGCGCAAGCAGCATGTAAATCAAACCTGTCTTCTGCAAATCCGCATCGCGAGAAGCCCGTCCAGTGTCCATCACTGACTTCACATCATAACTTACTGCAGGGTCCATATTGAGCTAGACTAATTAGCTAGAACTCGACATCGGATGAAAAATGCAGAGATGTTAAGCGGCGGAGGTTTGACTTGGCATTTCTGACTTACCTAGCAAGTGCTCGCCGGCCCCGTCGTAGAAACGTTTTGAGGTTTAGGGTTTAGGGTTTGCGGTTCAGCATAACAAAGAGAAAGAGACAGTTTGCAGTTTTTTTCATTAACAAGCCCTGTCAACCTCACTCTGTCATGGAGCGGTCCATCCCACCCTCGAACCACTCAATCGGCCCACTCGAGGCGCTGTCACCGGGGCGCCAATTCCAAAGCAACCACATCAAAACAAGAAAGAGGGGGCAGGGTGAACCGATAAATCAAATGCACTCTGGAGTTTTTCGGGCACGAACAGCCAACAAGCTAATTTTGTTTAACCTCATGTTTTTGTTGTCGGTCGCAGGAGCAAAGAGTGGCGGGTGGCATCCTCGTACAACCTCATGTTTTTTTGCTTTCGGGCACGAACAGCCCAAAAAAACAAACACCTAACTTTGTTGATCTCATGTTTCTTGTTTCCCCCCATCCCACCCTCGTACTGGGCACGAACCGCCAAAAAAACCGTGATTTTGTTAAGCTTTCGGGCACGAACAGCCAAAAAAAACAAGCATAATGTTGCTAACCTCATGTTTGTTTTCCCAACAGGCCCGTTCGAGCCAATGCCCCACCCACCCTAGAACCAACTAAACATTGGTCCGGATGAACCAAAAAACCTGTTTTCCCCCACCCTCGAACCACTCAAGATGGGAAAAACTAAGGGGGTCGGGGGTGTGCGCAGTGCTGTTGGTGGATGGAGACGTGCAGGTGGATTTGTGTCAAGCCTCAGTCGGAGGACCACACTAGGGGTTTAGGGTTTAAGGTTTAGGGTTTAGGATTTGGGGTTTTTGGGTTTAGGCCTTAGGGTTTAGGGTTTAGGGTTTACAGCGGAAAAAGCTTTGGGCTAGGGTGAGATGTGTCATTGCGGACATTGCATTGACCCTTGGGCACGCCATAACTCCGGATGCGCCGATCGGCTTCGTCTCTCAATATGAGAAGGTCGTCACACAAATCCATGAGCACCGATAAGGCTCATGTGCGACGTGAAGCCGCTCGTGGAACCTGGCATGTCCCTCATGGAGGCCTGCCGGATGTGTAGCGCACTGAGGTCTCGCATCACTTGCTGAGAGAGCATCACACGCTGCATCACTGCAAAACATGTTATGTGGAGGTGCAAGTGTACTGTCCCTTTTTCGGGTGCCAGTAAGATAGGCTCTCGTAAGCGATAATTGTGACATCGAGCCGAAGAAGGATTGCCGCTCTGGCTTCCAACGGCCAAACCTCGGTCCTTCCAAATCCTCGGCGTAGCAATCGGAGCGAAGCAATCCTCCAAGGGGGAGGCAGCAGACTTCATGAACGCTCGGCCCACGGCGATGTTGCATGCAGATCAACGTCAGCCCTGCAGCAGTGCTTGATGCGAAACAATGGTAAGGATGATGCAGCAAGTTTCATGCTGTCAGAAGGAGGTGCACCAATTGAAATGGCAGTAGGGCATGGCCCCCAGAACAAATAAAGGACCTAGCGCCGCGCGAAATCATCGTCACGGCATTTTCTGGCGATCCAACTGATCCAACCATTGTCATTGCACCAAACGCGTCATCCCAGAGGCACCTGCCCCTTTTGGACGCTGCGACTACCTCAATGCGTCTGTCGCCACTGGCACCATATCGCAAGGATACGGCACAACACCTGCAACGCGTTGGACTGCCCAAAGTCGTTTTCCACGCGCGGCAAAACAATAAAAAAATGAACGCATCACGCGGCATGCAAAAGTGAACGCGCCGCGCGGCAATGAACGCGTTTCGCGGATGCACAAGTGAACGCGCAACTGGGACATGCCCGCGCATCACAGCTGGCTGCAAAAAAACCTGCCAACAAAGGCTGTGCGACCTGAGCTTCCTCAAAGGGTTCCAAAAAAGAAACCCATGAGTAGATGTAGAAGCGGTGTGCGAAATCGATGAGGAAACCGAGAAATGACCACAACAGCGCCATAGCCCAGATTCCCCTCGTCACCACCTCAAGCACTCAAGCCTCCACAGCTCCGCAGCTCAGGCATCCTGTTGCGATTCCGATCACGAGCAAATTTGCAGCGATGCCTTCTGACTTGAAACTGCACTCTGGTGCAGTTTAGCGTCGAAACGTTCTAGAACAACTTCCTGAAACGTAGATCCTCGATTTGCTTAGCTGGACTGGCTTTATCCGGCTTCACTGAATGCCATTTCCGGATAAGATGCATTTTTGTGTTTTTTCGAACTCACCCAGTCTCTGCCCGGAAGACTCGGAAACAGACTCAATCTTTGCGGGGTATTCCGGAAGACTGCAGTCTTCCCTGTCGCTGCGAGTCCAGAAGACGGGCAGGGAAGGAGGCGCTGGCCAGCGCGCAACAGCATACCCTGGCACTCGGGGTTGCACGTCGCCAGCCCGCACACGAGCGGCGGCAGACGTGGGGAGCCAGCGTAGCTCTCGAAGACGTGGCAGAACGGCTCTCCAGACTCGTGGCGTGGGAGCACTCCAGGAAGTCTTGGTGCGGCGGCAATCCAGGCACAGGGGCTGCAGGCTCTGCCGCTGCCCGGAAGGACTGGTGCACCGGCACGCCCGCGTCGATGGACGCAGAGCGCGCAGACGCCCCGCTGCTCCTGCAGCAGCAGCCCAGTCGGCCAATCTTGTGTGGACAATCCACTCAGAGTGAGACAGACATGTACTTAGAGAGTGTGGACAATCCACTCAGGGTGAGACAGACATCCACTTAGAGAGTCCAACTGTACAAGCTAGCGAGCGTAAACGAAGTCGTGACTACAAGGAAGCAACCGCTGGAGCAGAGGCCCTTATTGCAAGACAACTTAAAGCAAGGCCAGCGAGGTGAGACCAAACAAGAAACTACCGGCATCACGTCACCCATAGCAATACTGCGCCACGTCTAGTACAGACATTAAGCGAAAGTATGGGTAGGCCGTAAGGCAAGGAACTTCCGTCACCTAAACTGCCCAACGCGTCCGTAAGGACAGTCCCCACACAAGCGCCAGGGCCGTAGCAATCGCGTAGCACTCAGTACACCTTTCTTGCAGTTAGGTTGACAAGTGAGTGTGAATGCACAGAGAGTTGAGACCAAAAACTTGTTTTGCCACACAGTAGCAGCACAGCGCTCACAGCACGCGGATGCGTGCTGTGAGGGCAGAGACCTCGCTGCGTTAACGCAATGCACTTCCTTGGCGTTCTCGCTCTCACTGACCAAGAAAAGCGGCTCTGACTGCAAGGGTTAGCAGGGGCACCGGCATGCTTGACCTGCAGGGTCCGTGTCATGCTCACAGGCGCGCCAGGCAGTTGCGCAGCGAAACGTGTCCCGCGGAGCTGAAAAAGGGCAAGTGAAACCCACTATTCTGGCAACCTATTCTTATGCAATTTGCAGAGACTGGCCAAGAAGCGGCCTTCTTGGCAGCCTGCAGCTTGCGGCTGCAGGGACAAAGCAGTCTGGGCATGCTGCAAGACCTCTTTGGGCTGGGCCCTCTGCGAGCAGGCGGGAGCGCACGACGCGCAGCCTAGCCTAGTGGTGCCCGGACTCGAGGGAGCACTCGACTCGTCGCTCCCCGCAGTAGCTGGGAATGTCCCGCGGCGCCGCCTCCCG